TTGTGTGATGTCATGAGCAGGTGGGGCTAAAGACAACACCTCTCCTCTGTCCCTTCTTGACTCCAACATTAGTAAAACCCAGGCTCAATGATGTGCCCTTCCAGCCAGGCCTCAGACACAGACAGCAGCTCCATGGGAGGAACCAAGGACTGGCTGGAAAGCTGTGACTTACCCAAGGGAAGAGGAAGTTTAGCCTAGGTGAGGAGTACTTGCTTAGTATGCATGGGGTCCTGGGTTCCATCCCCTAGCTGAGACCAGGTGACTAGAACCTGGGAGATGGATATCAAGTGAACCTTGCTGGTTCCTGTCTCTAACTAGGTGTGAATCAGAAGGGAGGAAAGTTAGGGATTACTGGGGAAAGAAAGACGTTACTTCCTTAGAAAGGCTTGTTGGGCAATGGGTTTCAGAAACAGACAACCAGATGTGACAACAGATTCTGTAACATATAGGCAATGTGATCTTAGACGGCTAATTCATGTCTTCTGGTCTTAGCCCCCTCTTGAAAATGACAAAATTATCTACCTTCTAGGTTGCTACAGAGATTAAATTTACTAGAACTTAAAACTTGAGCAGTTTAGGGACTTGGTAAGTCATTGCTGCAATTGTTATGAATATTAGTAGAGCATTAGAGATACTTCCAGCCTAAGATTTGCTTGATTTGAGTTATCTAGAAAATCTGTCCTTGGGCTGGGAGTTTAGCCTAAGTGAGGAGTACTTGCTTAGTATGCATGAGATCCTGGGTTCCGTCCCCAGCACCACAACAAAAACAAAACTCTAAATCCATGCCACTGGATTTAGGGGTCAAAAAATTTAACTGGGTCCTAATTGGGTATGGCGACACACACTTGTAATCTCAGCACTTGGGAAGCGAAGGCAGGAAGATCAAGAGTTCAAGGTCAACTTCAGCTACATAGCTAGTTCAAGGTTTGTGTGGGCAACATAAGATTCTGTCTTTTAAAAAAATTAGCTTGTCTCCTGAAACATTTACCTTATCCTTAGGGCATATTTAGGGACCAGGGAGATTTGGCTGGAGTTTGGATGTCTGAGGACACTGACCTTATTTAATAATTAAATTGTTCTCAGCAGGAACATTCAGTGTAACCCTTCCAGATTCTGGGAGCCCTGAAATTTAGAACCTGTCCATAGACCCATGACATCCCCAGGGGAGGGGCCTTAACTCCAGGAATCCTGTCTCAGAGCTGGAGGATACAGGAGGGAAAATTGTGTGAGCAGGTAGCCCAAAAGACATATGGTCGGGCTTGGGCAGAGCACAAATCCCCAAGGGGAAATGAGGACGCCTCTCCTATTCCTTTTCCCTAAACTCAAGGTCACTCTCCTCACCTCCCTCTTCCAAGGTCTGCCACCCTTAGCTCCTCCTGGCTTCCAGACGATATTCAAGGTCCAGGGTTCTCCGATCTCCTGGCTGATACCTCCTGGTTGGCTGTATGGCATCAGGAGAAAGTGGGCTTTGGAGATCGTCCTGACTACCCTATGCTCAGGTTTCACCCAATGCTTACTATATTCCAGTCACCAGAAACCCCCCTGGGAACAGAGAACACAGGGCATGATAGGCTCCCTGCCCCGCAGGCTCACTAACCCCCACAGATCCCCTTAGAAGAAAGCCACCCAAAGGCCACCCTGAAGAAGAGGAGAGTGCCATTGCCTGAAGGGTGGGTGTCTACCACTCACCCCCCGCAGACCACTTCAGGGGAAGCCAAAATCTTGAGATTTATCTGGACATTAGGTTTTAGGTCTAGATCTTACTAGCTGGGTAACCACAAACCTCCATAACCTCTATGAGCCAGTTTACTCTGTTATAATCAGAAGATAAAAACAAACTACCTTTGGGCTTTTAATTTAATTTATTTTATTCTTTTACTTTTTTATGTGTATGACTATATTGCTTGCATGTATGTTAGTGCACCCATGTCAGAAGAGGGTGTCAGATCCCCTGAAACTGGAGTTAGGATCGTTGTTAGCTGCCATGTAGGTGCTGGGACTTGAACCTGGGTCCTCTGCAAGAGCAGCCAGTGCTCTTAACTGCTGAGCCATCTCTCCAACCCTTTGGACTTTTATGCAAACAAAGTAATTGATGCCTAATGCTCTGTGTTGTTTTGTGTTAGCCCTGGCAGGGTGCTGACCCCACTATTTCTGTTGGGTTCTCCCTCTGGCTCAGCTGCTAAAGCCTTGGGTGAGGTTGGAAAGTCCCTTCCACTGGCCCTATTTTTTCAAATATCAGGGGAGAGAATGAACTCACCCACTTCAAAGGGCCCTTTGACATTCCAACAATAGTTATTTTAGACCTACTATACACCAAGCACTAGAGATTTGACAATGAACAGAGCTAGCAACTTAGCAAATCACCCCTAAGGGCAAGATCTTGGGTGCCTCACAGCCTCACTAAATAGCACCTGGGATCAGCATGGTTGGTTATAATCAGACATCTTCTGCCTGCTTTTGTGGGCCCTAATTGTTCAGCAAATTCTCTTAAAGATTATTTTATCTTTCCATGGAGGGTAAGGTCTAACTTCACTAGATAAAAAGAATCCAGTCAGAACCCAAACATTACACAGTGTGCAATTCATGTGCCTTTCCTCCCTCCCTCCCTCCCTTCCCTCCTTCTTTCTCTTCTTTCCTTCCTTTAGTCTTTCTTTCTGTGTGCATGTATGTTTGTGTGGAGTGTGTGCACGTATATGCATGCCCATGTGTGTCTGTGTAGAGGACAGAGGTCTGTTGCACATTTTCCCTATCATTCCCCACCTTTTTTATGATTTTTATTTTATGCGCATGAGTGTATTGCCTGCATGTATATGAGTGCACCCTGTATGCAATGCCACGGAGATCTGAAGAGGGCATTGGATTCCCCTGGAACTGGAGTTAAGGACAGTTCATAGTCACCATGTGGGTGCTGGGAATCGAACCCAGGTCCTCTGCAAGAGCAGTCAGTGCCCTTAACCGCTGAACCATCTCTCCAGCCCCCATCCCCCACCTTTTTAAAGACAAGATTTCTGAACTTGGAGTTCACCATCGGCTAGACTGACTGGCCAGTGAGTTCCTCAGATCTTCCTATTTCTGCCTCCCAGTGCACAGTGCACTCTTTATGTGGGAGCTGGGGATCTGAACTCAGGTCCTTATGCTTGCGCAGCAGGCACTTTACTGACTGAGCGAGCTCCACAGTCCTTTTTTTCCTTTTCAGACAGAATCTCATTGCGCAGATTGGCCTTCAGTTTATGATCCACTTGCCTTTGCCTCCTGAGTGCTAGGATTACAGGTGTGTACCACAATGCCCACCTAATTGTTCACGTTTTCCTGCACGTGCTAAATAAATAATCCTAGGGCTAGAGAGATGGTTCAGCAGTTAAGAGTACTTGCTGCTCTTGCAGGGGACTTGATTCTGTTCCCACAGCCCACATGGCAGCTCACAACCATTGTAACTCCAGTTCCAGGGGATCTGATGCTCTCCTATGGCCTTCAAGGGCACTGCACACACATGGTGTACTTATATGCAAGCAGAACGCTCATACACATAAAATAAAAATAAATAAAATATTTTAAAAAATAATCATAGCAATTGGGAGGCTGAGTCAGGAATATCAAGAGTTCTAGGTCAGGGAATGGAGATAACAGCAATTAAGAACACTTGCTGTTCTTCCAGAGGACCTGGGTTCGATTCCCAGTACCCACACAGCAGCTAACAACTGTCCACAGCTCCAGTTCCAGGGGATCCAACATTCTGGTGTTTCCCCTGTGCCACACAACTCCACTTCCCAGGCCAACCTGGCAACCCAGCTCTGAAGGCAAGATGGTACAAATGTCTGACTCCAGAAACAGCAACTTCTGGGCACCTACTGAGTGGCTGCAGCTTGGACAAGTCCCGGCAGGCCTGCAGATCTCAGCAACCAGGTCACCTCCTTCTTTGCATTCTCAATGAGTTTAAAGAAAAAGCCCCTCGGTGTCTTCCAGCACTGAACAGAAACCATTTGTGTGTTTGTTCTGTGCTTTGGGTTTCCCACCTGCACTCTGAAATGTGATCAGAATGGAATGAAGAATTCTTAAGGAAATTCTTCCCTGGAGCTAGGACACCTGAATGCTTTGAGAAGGAAACCCTGGAAAGGGGCAACAGCCCAGAGAGGCTGGGTAAACTGACTGCCATCACCTGGCTCAGGGATTAGGAAAGGGACCCTGAACTGCATCACTGATCAGCAAGGGGCCTCTGGGCAGGGGGTAGAGGGTTTGAACCAAGGGGCACAGAGGTGGATAGTCTTCCTAAAAGGAACTTCAGCACTGAGTCCTGAGATGCCACCAGCTTGGAGAAACCCAAAACTCCCAGGGCTTGATCTGAAGCAATCTGGACAAGCTGCTGGGGCTTATGGGGAGAAATTCCCCAAGTCAGAGGTGTGGGAGGGTGCCCCTTTTCCCTCCCTGGGGTAATCAGACTCCCCTGACAGCAAGAGTGGGGTCCCATCTCTTGGTCTGGTGCTTGCGCTTGGGGTGCAAGAGCTTCTCTTGCCCCTCCCACATCCACAGGGATCCCCACAAGTGTGTGCCACACCCACACCCACACCCCTACTTCTTTTTGTCCCATCAGTACCTGGATCCCCCCAGAGAGTGCTCCTGCAGGCCAGCTCCCCTAACCTTTGTACTGGATGGAATATTCCCTTCTCCATCCCTCAGGGTTCTAGGCTGGTTCCTCCTGGTCCCTCCTGGACATGCTGCTTCTGGACCCTCCATCAGCATCCTTCTGGTCCTTGCTAGGGTGCCCCCTAATCCCTCTGCTCCTCCCACTCGCCCCCCCCCCCAGATAACCCGGGGCGCCGCTGCCCTGCGGCTGATTCTCCTGGCGTCCTCTCTCCTCTCCGCCCTCCAGCGGGAGTTGCTCCCCTGCAATGGATGTCCAGTTGTCTGGATCCTGCTGTCCTCGGCCTCACCCCCCTCCTTCCACTACCTGCCCACTTCCGCCACTGGGCACCGCGCACACGCGGACCACCCCGCGCGCGCACCCCTCCTACCCGCAGCCGCCGGGGATCTCTGGCCCCCCAGCCTCACTTGCAGCCGGAGCAAAGCAGAAAGCTGTCAGGTTCTTTCTGGCGCTGGAGCCGCAGATACAGGGGTGGCGGCGCCGCCCGGAGTGGGAAGGGCGGAGCTGAGCACTGAGGAGTCAGCCTCCTCCGCGCCCCGCCTGGCGTTAAGCAAGCTTGAGCTGCCCCCGCCCTCCCGAGAGGTCACTCCCCAACTCACCCGCCGTGCGACCGCGTCCCAGGACTTCCTGTGGTCATAGTACAGTCTTAGGGTAGGAGGCCCAGAGAGCAGAAGCAGTGATCCGAATGCAATGAGGCTGAGCTCAGCCGCTTCCCCAAACCACAGGCTTCAGTTTGGGGGCCTGGCAGACTTGGGGACAGTGGCTGGAAAGTGGAAACATTTCCCCCCTAGAGCTCTGAGCCCAGCTCCAGCGCAACATGCATTCCCCATCCCTCACAAGGCTACTGTGGTCCAGATGGCACACCTTGGGGGAGCTGCACCCCAACCTGGGTTCCTTTGCCTATTCAAGGTCTTACCCCTACCACCTCTGACAGTTTCCCTGCCCTGTTTGTCTGGACCTCTGTGAAAACACCTACCCCCTATGTCACGTCTCCCTTTTCATGTGGGCACAGAGAAAGGTGAGGAGTCCTTCACAGGGTAAGCCTTCAGTGCCTCAAATGCCCCTTCCCAGGGTGTGCAGAGAAACAGACCTGGCAGAATTGGAGACACAGATCTTGTCTTGATGGATGGAGACTAGGGCTCTACCCTTATAGTGAGCCAGGGATTGGTCCCTGGCACAATATCAGGATCTGAGGCCTGGTACTAATCCCAACTCTCCATGTGACCTTGGTTATGTCTCCTGGCTCTCTCTGGTGTTATGGAGACAGCAGTACCACCTGACACAGTTGTTAGGAAGGTTAAATTAAATCATGATGGGTACAGAAGTCCTTTGGAAACCTCTAACTCTGAGAAGCATGTAAATTTTGCTATCTTGTAATGAAACATCTCCATGGAGTAGCATAAAGCTGACCTTTCCTTGGCCAGGCATCAGTGGTGTATGCCCTTAGTCCCAGCACTCTGGAGGCAGAAGCAGAGGGATATCTATGAGTTCAACCCCAGCTCTCTGCAGGGAGACCCTGTCTCAAAAAGACAAAAATAAAACAAACAAACAAAAAAAAACCCAAAACAAAACCCAAAAAACTGACCTTTTCTCGACTGAACCAGTTCAAACATAAGAATTTCCTAAATCTGCAGAGCAAGGTGCTAGGCCTGCCTTCCCAGTTGCTCCAGAGGCTGAGAAAGAAGGATTGGTTAAGCCCAATAGTTTAAGGCCAGTCTAGGCAACATAGAGAAATCCTGTTTCAAAATCATAGTAATTTCTTAAATGTCTGTAATTAGTGTTGATAAGAAAAGTAAGAAAGAAAAATCCTCAGAACCAATAGGATATAGGGAATTAAAACCAGTAAACAGTAAGACATTCCAGAGAAATACTCTGTACTGGAACCTGGTCTGTCATAGTGAATGAAAGCTAAGGATTTGAAGAGGGCTTGGATTTAGCTTCCGTTTTTAGAAGGAAGGCCATGCTCAAATTGCTTTGGTTCTCTTTGTTTTGTTTGGTTTTTCGTGGTAGTGTTTGGCTTTTTTTTTTTTTTTTGGTATGTTTTTAAAGATAGTCTCATGCGGCTCGGGCTTGCCTGGAACTCACTATGTAGCAAAGGCTAGCCTCAAATTCCTGATCCTCCAGGCTCCACCACCCACATAGTGAGACAGCAGGCATTCGAGACCACACCCTGGCTTGGCTTGTTTTTAAAGTGGCAGTTTCTGCTTAATGCTCTTGCCACGTGCCAAGCAGTGGGCCAAACAGTTGCTGTGGTGACCTCTCTTGATTCAAACAATCCTGTGGAGCAGGTACCGTGCTTAGTGTTAGCTCACTTTACAAATTGGGAAACTTAGCTCAGAGGAGTGACAAATCACATTTGTTATTTATTTATTTATTTATTTATTTATTTACTTGTTATATGTATATGAGTGCTTTGTCTGCATGTATGTAAGTGCACCCAAGTACACACTATCTGTGAAGACCTGAAGAAGGCATCTGATCCCTTGGAAATGGAATTATGGATAATTGTTAACTGCAATTTAGGTGCTGGGAACTGAACCCAGATTCTCTGCTAAAGTAGCCACTCAACTGCTGAGCCATCTCTCCAGCCCCCTTTTTTATTATATTGTCTAAACTGCACCCATTCCTTTGAGGTGACAATGGACACTACTTTATGGATAGAAAAACAGAAGCCTAGAGCAAGAAAGATGTATCCCAGGTCAGACAGCAATAGATGAGAGCCCAGCTTAGGCTCTGGGAGGGAGATCAGGAGGTTTGCTTGCAAGTGAGAAATCATTTGGCCGGGACACTCCACTAGGGCTGAGAGCCGAGTAATCAAAGACAGTGGTCAACTATGGAGCCTCACAGCCTATTAGCCCCACGCAGAGCGGTTGGTCCTCCAGGTGCTCTGTCATAATTTCTGTCTGTAGTTGAGGATATAAGCCCCGGGGAGACCTGCCCAAGGCCACCTAGTTGCCTAGCATTGGGCCTGGATCCAAACCTGCCTCTTATCTACTGGACCTGGAGGGAAAGAACATTTCTTTTGTGCCCTGCTCTACAGCAACCTCTGTCCCCAGCCCAGGCAGCATGAGACCAGCACTGGAACAACACTTTACATAGATTAGCACTTGGGTGAGGTGATGATTCACAATTCCAGCACAGTCCCCCATAATCCTTTGAGCTCAGGACCCTGAGAGGACCTGTCAAAAAGTAAGAAAAGGAGCTGGAGAGATGGCTCAACAGTTAAGACCACTGGCTGCTCTTGCAGAGGACCTGGATTCAATTCCCAGCACCGACATGGTGGCTAACAACCATCGGTCACCCCAGTTCCAGGGGCTCCAAAGCCGCCTTCTAACCTCCACAGGCACTGCACGACAGGGGTGCAGTTACACATATGCAGGCAATACACTCATATACATAAAACAATAAATATTTTAAAAAGCAAGAAAAATCAAAGTTGTTGTAGCCCCAGAAGGTTGAGGTTAAGCTCCATTACTGAAGCTCTTCTTGCATCACATATTGAAACCCAGAGGTCTAGCTGAATGAAGACTGTCATTGCAGCTCTGCCTGGAGCAGTGGGTACACCAGGAGACAGGACAAGTTTCCCAGTCTTCAGGCCTTCTGGGACCAGTATCCCAAGCCCTAAGGAGGGGAGAGGACTTTCAGGGGAGAAAAAAAACATGCCCAAGGGGCTGAGGTATAAGAGCTGGGGAAATTCAGGAATGGGCCATGGCACTGTGGGCTAGTCATGAGGTGGGGCCTCATCTGAAGGCAACTGGAAGGCAGAGAGAGGATGGGACCAGCTGTTCCCCATGACAACATGGCTTGGCATCAGACTCTTGCCTGAACAATTCCAAAGAAGTACTGGCCACAGCACAATCTTTCTCCCCACCCAGGGAAAAGGCCTCAGATTTGCAGGTGTGGGAAGAGGAGACAGGCCTAGTGTGCATGCTTCCTGGGCCACTGAACAGCCTGGCTAGCTTGTAGGAAGGTCTCCCCCAGGAGTCATGAGCCTGAGTGGGGTGTTTGGGGATGATTGGAAAGGGAATGGTCCTAGGCCACTGGCCTGTAGACACTCAGCAGAGATCTGCAGATGGCAACCCCACCCTCACAATCTCCAGTGTGGCACATACAGACCGCCAGGTTGTAGGGTTGGAGAGATGAATCAGTAGTTAAGAACTCTGTGCTGGCTGTCCTTGCAGAGGACCTGGGTTCAATTCCCAGCACCCACGAGGCAGCTAACAACTGTCTGTAACTCCTGTTCCAGGAGATCCCATGCCCTCTTCTGGCCTCCACCACCATTGCACATGGGTGCACTTACACACAGGTAAAAAACTCTTACACATACAAATAGAAGTAAATAAATACTTAATTTTAAAAAAGAGTGCCAGGTTGCACCTTCTAGGTCCAACTCTGACCTTATCTTCAGCTGCAGTAGACTTTGTCACAGCTGACTCAGCCCCATGCATCCTCAGGTCCTGAAGCTGCTGACTTAGGTGCAGGCAGTTGGCACCCTGGGGACAAAGTTCCATCTGGAAGATACTGCAGAGATTGCAGCCTCCTGATAAAAGGAAGGCCTCTCACCCTTCTTCATGAGAAGCTTCTAAAGATCTAGGCTCACAAGCTGGAAAACATAGCCAGAACTTTGCTGTGTCTAGAACCTCACCCCTTCTACCTACTTGTGCTCTGGAGGGGCAGGAGCAGGGTGAGAGGAAGGGCAGGAGCACAGTGGGGAGGACTGACAAAAACACAAAGGCCAGGAGTCCCCTCCAGCTCACACATGCCACACCTGTCTCCCTTGTAATCTTGGCACAGCTCATATTCTTTTGGGCAAAGGACACAACTCACTGTGTCCCAGACAGCACTGAGTGCTGAATCTTAGGACCCTGTCCAAAATGAATGTGCAAAACTTAAATAGAGAAGCAGATCCCTTTAGTAAGCCTGGAGACCTTCAGTGTTCTGTATAGGGCTCTGTATAGAGGCCTGCCTGCTGGTCCCATGGCCCCAGAGAGCATCATGCCTGCCCAGCCTTCCCTCATACAGATCTCTATTTAAATGTTACCTCAGCAGAGAGGGTCCCCTGCCACCAGTCACCTCTAAGAGTCTTTCCCTACCTCAGCGACCATCAGGATATTCCGTACCTCATTCTTTCCGGAGAATGTCAGCAACCAGACGTCCTGATTAACCCAGTAAGTACCCAGTAAGTAACTAAAACTGGAATTGCCAAAATGAGTCATTTTCATGATTTAAAATGACTGGAAACATTTGTGTTTGTTTGTTTTTGTTTTTTGAGAGGAGGTCTCCCCATAGCCCATGCTGGCCTGGAACTTGCTATGTTAATGAGGCTTGTCTCCCCAATCTCTCAAAGATCCACCTACCCTGGCCTCTGAGTGCTATACCGGTTTGACAGGAAGCATTTTAAAAGAACATTTGAATGTCAAATTGCCCTTTGGGTTTGGAAAATGCAGCCCACAGAAAGTATCCCAACAGGCATTGGGTGTCAAAGATACAGATGGTAGCCTTCTTTGGAACTAGGAGTCTCAGCTT